AATAACTTGAAGGCGCATAATAAGCTGAAATTAGCAGAGAAAAGTTAATTAGGCTGAAAGTAGCTGAAATTACCATGAAAATCTTGAATTTATCTGAACAGTTGAAATTAGCCAAAAATGCTAAAAAGACAGCTACAATGGTAGAAGAAGCTTAAATTAGCAGAACAAAGCAGAAAATAACACGTTTGTCCAATTAAGCTGAAAGATTCAGAAATGAGCACAAAAAAATGTAAATCATCTGGAAAAAGCTGGTTCACAAAAAAAAAAAAAACTGCTGAAAAGTAGCTAAAAAAACAGAAAGCAACTTGTTACCAAAGGGGAATGGTGGGAGCACATTTTTGCTAAATTAGGCTGAAAAAGTTTAAATAAATGCAAAAAAATGTGATTAGCCAAAAAAACTAAAATTAGCATGAAAACAGTTAAATAGTAGCTGAAATAGCAGAAAATGCTGAAATGCATAAATAAGCTGAAAGGAGCATAACAAGCTTAAATTACCAGAAGGAAGTTAAAGAAGCACAAAAAATATTGTAAAAGAAAGAATCTGAAAAAAGCACAAAACAGCTGAAAAAAACAGCTGAAAGCAGCTGACAAATGTTTAAATTTGCACAAGACAGCTGAAACAAGCTGAACCAGAACAAAATGTGAAAGGAGCAGTTAAAGGTTGTAAACAGATCTAAAGATGTCAGGGATGTAAAATGAGCTCAATTCATTTTCTATTAGAAAAAAATGTCAGAAAAGGCTAAATATTTCAAAAAGCCAAAGTTGCATCAATACCAAAAGTCATAGCACCCTTCTCTTGAAAGAGCTAAACCTTTTGATGATTTGATAGCACAAAAATTGCAGAACGAGAAAGATGCAGAAAAACGTACAGGAAAAAAAAACTGGATCACAACAGTGCAAATGCTTCAAAAACATTCACACAATGAACTCAGTCATTCTTATAGATTCAAAGGGAACGTGACAATGAACCTCCAAATCTTCGTGCACAGCCACTGTGTTGACATAATGTTTGCATCTTTCTTTTCCATGTGCCAATTAGCAGCACTAGCTGTGATTTCTTCATGTAATACAGAGGAGTTTGGAGAAATATTTGCAAGTGCAGATGAAAGTATCTCCTGTGAGCATCACCAGGGACACAACTCAATCTGCACTCATTTACAGGAGTTTAAACATTTCAGCTAAATCTAATATTAGGCAGAACATGAAACACTTCTGCACCTTCTGTGCTGCCATCTGCTCAGAGTTTTATCTTATCACTCTTCACTTTATCAGCAGAGTAAATCCTGCTGTTGAGACTTTTATGGTTAAGGATTTTCAAGAAGTGAAAAAGATCAGTAAATCTTGAAAATATTTTTTTCCTGTTCAGAGTTAAAAGCTGAGTTTACCTTGTGGCGTTGGCTGTCAGAGACGGTGAGGGAGCCTGTCGCAGTTCAACAGTCCAGACCCTTCTTATTAAAGCAGCACAAAAGACTAATTATTTCTGCAGTGCTTTGATTTACATGCAATTAAAGTTTCATGTGTGCCCAGACCAAGCAGGAGGAGGACAAGGGGACAGCGGAGAGGGGATTAAAGGAGAAACTAGACACTGGAGGCTAAAAGAAGCAGAAAAATGGAGGGGAAAAAAATGAAACTTGGTGACAGAAGGAGGAAAAGTGTTTTTGTGAGGTGAGCGGATCAGAGATCAGAGGAGTTGTGAGGCAAGCTATCATTTGGTGAGGGAAGTGATGACACAGCACATCCATCTCTGTGACAGGTGCTGCTGTTGCTTTACTGAGGACAAGGGAGCAGAGATCTGCACCACAACAAGAAAACTACTACACCTCAAGGTAATAAAAAATATATACTCATTGTATACCATAAAAATACACACGTGTATACGCAAAGTTTGACTAAATACAACCGCAGTTTTAAAAGATTGGGACGCTGTACATAATTTAAATAACAGAATGCAATGAATTGCAAATCTTGTAACCCATATTTTGCTACACTTTACAATAAGGCTCCCCTTATAAATGTTAATAAATAGTTTATAGATATGTTATTAATTACTGTACTTTATAAATCATTAATAATTGTTTGTTATACATTAATTAAGGGTGACAGAGACAAAACTGAGCAGTTTCTTGCCAAATCTGTTCACCAATATTTCATCTAGAGTTGTTATATTAAACATTTCAGAATAATACCTTGTACGCACAATAAACATTTGTAAACCTTTTTTTAGGATATATTAGTTGTAGATACTTAAAATGCATTGATAAAGTATAATATTATATGCTAAAGAAATAGGTTTATAAATGCTTATTGTGCTCACAAGGTAGTAACTTAGACTGAAATGTTTAATATAACAAATCTAGATGAAATATATGAACATATTTAGCTCAATATTTGGCAAGAAACTGGACTCAGTTTTGTCTGTCACCCTTAATGCATAATAAGCAGTTATTTATATAGTGTTTACAGAGGAATTAATAACGCATCTATAAACTATAGTAGCCATCTATAAAAGGAGCCTTATTGTAAAGTGGTACCCATATTTTTTTCCACAATGGAACAAGTAAATATATGTTTAAACTGATGCAAACCATTAAAAATGAATGGTGACGGGGTCACGTTTCCAGCTGTGAAGCACACCCTCTTCTTTTAACAACAGTCTGTAAGTATCCAGGACCCGAGGCCAGCCATGGAGTTTTTGGAAGAGGAATCTTGTCCTGTCCTGGATCTTCTTTGATGTTTTTTGTCTGTTTTGTTTTATTAATGATGCATCAAATGTTTCATTTGGTGAGATGTCTGGAGTGCAGGCAGGTCAGTACCTGAACTGTTCTGCTATGACACAGCATGCATGCTCCGAAAAATGCAAGGTCTTCCCTGGAAAAGATCCCATCTGGTTGAGAGCATGTGTTGTTCTAAAACCTGTACTTTTTCTGCTTTGATGGTGCCTTTCCAGATGTGTAAGCAGCGCATACCACGGGCACTAATGCTCCCCCATACCATCAGCAAAGCAGGATTTTGAACTGTGTGCTAATAATAGGGCAGATGGTCCCTCTCCTCTTTAGAGTAATTCACATGTCAGTTTGTCTGAATGCAAAACGTTCGGCTTGCAGGGATGTCCAGAATAAAATCAGATTTGTTTTTAATACAGTGATCACCAAGATCACCAAAAAACTATTTTCACCCTCGCAGCAGAGGTTTCTCCAGCTTCATGAAACTTTTTGATGATATGAACTGTAGATGATGAAATTTTTAAAGTCTTTCCTTTTTTTGTTGGTGGAGAAACTATTCTGAAACTGTTCCACTATTTTTAAACATTTTTGTTAGTTTTTGCACACGCGTGAACCTCTGCCCATCTTTTTACTTTTTAGAGATCCAGCTTTTCTTTTTAGCCCACTCCTCTTACCGACCTGTTGTCAACTCACCCAGTTAGTTGCAAAAAGCTTCTTCTAGCTGCTTTATTTCATTTTATTGTTTGTACTACTTTAACAGCTTTTTGTTGTCCTGTCCATAAAATTCAAAATTACCTTAATTTTGTACTAAACATGAAAGAAAAATCTTATTTTCAACATTTGGTGTGTTTACTGTTTTACATTTGTCAATAAAATATGGGTTTATGAGATTAGAAAATAATTAAAATCTGGTATTTATATTTTGCACAACAATTCAACTTGTTTGCACTGGGTTGTACACATTTGTAATTGTAAAGATTAAAATTGTTACAGGAAACAGCTAGTGATTTGCATCAAATTATTGCAACTACTCTGTCTCTGGTATGCTAATATAAGAAAACGTGAATAATTTAACAGCTTGATTATGTTATTTATTTAAGATTTTAGTTTTCTGACCATGAACTTGTTTCCTCAGATGTTATGTAACTCTGTGGTTTGTAAATCAGCAATCGTAGCCTGGAGCTTCTCCATATTTCTGCTTGAATGCGCTGCTCTGTAAAGAAGAATGCCATGGATGTGCCGTGACAGGGAACAAACTAGTACGATGTAAAGTAAGAGCATGACATGATGAGCTGCAGTCAAGTCACTGAATGTATTCTGCAATTTAAAACACCCACAATGAGCATCTACTGAGAGGAAATGTTTTTATTGTGATCATTAACGCATCAGATAAACACACAAAGCAGTTTCCGGGTGAGCTAGGATTATAAATAACGCCCAGAAAATAACAGAGGGGAGAAGGGGAATGAAAGCTAGATGTAGGAGAGGGCATGATAACAAAAGCAATAAAAGGAGCTGCCTGTTCCCAGCTGTGATGCACTGTGCATCCAAGTGCGAGTGGATGAGTTTGGACGAGATTTGTCTATATGCACCCACTCAACTCTATATAAATGAGTCACATCATCCTATTAATCACCCCTTAGCATCACATACCCACATTCCTTTATTAGAATGCTCTTCAGGGTTGCAAACAGGACATTTTCATTTTGCGATAATCTACAGCCTGAATTATTATTTTTTTTTTATGCAAACAAAGAGTTGTTTTATTCTTTTTAAACACTCGCAGACTGCACCGACTGCAGGATCAAGTAAAAATAAAAAATAAAATAAAAGAACCAGCTCAGTTTGACAGCAGTGAATGACACCAGTGTGTCATCCAGTCCTTTCTTCTGAGTGAAAGGATCCAGCTGGCTCGCTTGTCAAGCACCTTTCCAACAGATGTACAGCTGGAGGCACTCCAGGGAATGTGCACACACACTTAGGCATGCACCTACACAAACACACTCCTCTATTACACAATATTCAAAGCACTCTGAGCTACTCATACACTTTGACTTTATGATCTCTCCAATGAAACACCTAGTGTCTTGAATTTATGCTACCCCCCTTCACACATCTTTTCCTCCAAATTAAAGCCAATAGGTGTAACTTACATATTCTGCTTTATTAGAATAAAAAGCTTTAATTAAATCTTTGATTGAAAGCCAATTTTTTTTCCACCATGATGTTGTACGCATGTTTATTATTATTAATAATTATGACAGACAAGTTACTCACAGGAGTTCCTTTGGCTCCCGTCTGTTGGACCAGGTGAGGTGGACATCAAAGCAGTTTTTGTCCTCACGAGACACCCGAATTGGACGGAGGGAGCAGGAAGATGGTGTAAAGTACAGCACACCACTAACTCCAGTGATCACGACAGGTCCTGCCCACCGTGCATCCTCACGCCGCTTCTCAATCAGCACACATGCTCCTCAGCTCAGAGGATGCTCCACTCGCACATTCTCCAGCACGACGGCGCACGCTCATGTGCTCTCGAATGTTAGGCGTCTTGAAGGAAGCCACACAACGAACGTGTGCACGTATGGCTCGAGACTGCACCAGTGTCTGCTCCAGTGGGGTGGGGGGTGGGGGGGTGAGCTGCTGCTGAGGCTGAGGAGAGATGGAGAGGAGCAAAGATGATTGGAGCATAGCACTGGCTGCTGCTGGGAGAGGGAGGAGGGGGTGGGGGTCAGAGGAGTGGAGGGGAGGGTGGAGAAGAGGTGAAGAAAGGGGTGTGCACGGAAGAATGGAAAGAAATGAGGAGTTTGTGTAGCTGCAGTTTTGCTGCAACTCATGAATACATTTGGCTCTGACCTTTGAACACTACGCTGATTAACCGCCTGCACACTTTACACACCCTCCATTTATATAACTCTGAGACGTACACTGTTTCCACACAGGGTCAGAGTCTTAAAAAGTAAGAAAACTCACAAAAAGAGCAAAATCTTCCTCATAATGTGTTTCTGCTTTTGTCCCATGCACACCCCCACATAAAAGAGCCACATCACACCCACTGTGTGTGGCTCCACTGCCTGAGGAGGTGAGGGATCCTCCTCATTAACATGATGCTGTGAAGAACATGCAAATCCACCTGGCTCCGTCTCCTTTGTATCCTCCTCTTGTTCAGCTGCACGTGACGTGCACTTCATGGGGATAATAAATGCATCTTTCACAAGACGCCTTTAAACAAACTGCCAGTCTAATTGATTTGAGCACTGCAGGTTTTCTAAACAACTTATTGTTTTATACAAAGTCTAAAAATCAATGTAGTAAAAATTAAAGGTCTCACTTCTTGTAGGAATTTTCATGCCATATTTTAATCCAAGATCATTTTTGTGGACCTGTTAGGATTCATGAATCTCTAATCAGGATTATCACTGTGAAAAAAAAATCACTGTAATGCCACTTTGATTGTTATGTACTGCTGATTATCCATGCTGCTGATCTCATGCTGCTGATTATTTCATACATCGTATTCGTTCATTCGTACTCTTCTACTCACACAGACTCATGTTTGTGCTGCTGTTGTTCGGCGTATTGTTTTGCACCATTAGTGACTAGCGTATATCTTAAATCTTTTAGTGTACCGTTTTGGCGTTTAGCTTATATCTTCGATCCATATTTACTGTTTCTTTTTATACTTTATATTTATGCTATTGCTGGATGTAGCTGGGATCCTGTGTACACAATTTCGTCCACCTTATGTACCACGTGATGTGAATGACCATAAAGAACCTTGAACCTTTAAATGAGAAATATATATTTTTTCATTTTATTTTGTCAAAATAATACCGGTATGTATAATCTCATGCACCATTTTAAAAGCACCTGTTCAGATTTAGTGGTGTGACTGACTTGGTCACTACCACATCAAATCTAAAATACATGAAAATTTGATTAAAATTGTGATTTTTGCTTTGGCTAAAGTTGATCAGCTCTGACGCCATTCTTGAATTGGACCAACAGGTGATCAACTTTAGCCAAAGCAAAAATCACAATTTTAATCAAATTTTCATGTATTTTAGATTTGATGTGGTAATAAACTTATTACTACAGAATAAATGCCTTATTTTCTGAAAATTTCAACTAAATTTACAGGTACGTGGTGAGACAACATGCAACTTTGAAATATATTATCAAAGCTATCTTTTTTGGGGGGAGGCAAAATAACCTAAGGAACTGTATTTAAATAAGCAAGATCTGAATAAAGTGATGGAAACATCCTGAGACAAAAAGCACGTCATGCGTCAAGTCATCGTTAGGACCTGGCATAGCTCAAGATGCCCAAAGGTGTCACACAGAACAGAGAAGACAAACACCAGCAGCCGCTGGCAAGAACTTCTGGATGCAGCTGCACAAAGCTGCAGGGACTTTAAAGGGAAATATTATAAGCCCCTTAATTAGCTGAGGCTGATTACAACAGAAAGAGCTGCAGGAGGGGTGAAAAGTGCAAGAGTGTGAAATGTGGAGCTATGGAGCATCACGTCGAATAATACGAGTTCATTATTAAACTGATGGTTTGAGATCTTACTTAGAACCTGACGGTGGATTTAGAAATAGCACTAATTAGGAATTCTCCGTACTTTTGCCACTTGTCACCACTTTATTTTTTAGAAAATCCAGACACTATTAAACATGAAACTAAGAGATGATCAAAGAAACATCTCAAAGTGTTAAAATAAATGTAATACTTTGACTTCTGCTCACAGTGGATCTAATTTATTCTGATTTTCACTGTGAATGTAGGCGGTGTTGCACTTCTTTACTCTCCTTTATAAACCCTTAAAGCAACAAACATACGTCCCACACAGAGTTGAAATTTTCAAGTACGTTACTATGAATGTTGTGTATGACAACAAAGAAGAGAGTGGAAAATTCAGCAAACCTGGGACAGGACCTCAGAGTATGTTATTTTTAATTTTTATTTTTTTTAAGGAAAAAATCCAACAGAGCAAATATCATTAAGAACAGGAAGACACTTTTCTGCTGGACTGTGAGCCTACACTTTTGTACATGCTTTATAAGAACCATAAAAGCAGGTTTTGGTATGAATGTGTGTAGGTGTACAGAGAACATGAAACTCACTGCATCCAAATCTTGGATGTAAATCTGAGCATGCAGTCCAAAATTAATTTAACTGTAAAATTGAATCAGAATGTAAAAAAAAAAAACATTTTTGTAAATGTATAGAGCAGGGCTATTCAACTTGTGGCCCAGGGAGCAAATCAGGGCCACAGGTGAGCTCAGTTCGGCCCACCAATGGGTTCATTTTAAAATAAAACCAGTTCTATTTCGTATAGACTTCGCCCTTTAAGGCTATCGCTAGTGGGTTTATCCCGTCACGCGCAGCACTGAAAACTTTAGTCCACGCCCACCGGCTGTGTGGGCCCCACCCCCGGTCCGTATAAATTACGGTAAGACCGGGCAATCGGCTCCCATTTTGTCTCCCATTTTTTCTTCAGCCAGCTAGCTAGCACTGTCTTAAGAATGAAGAGATGTCCAGCTTTGACCAGCACAACCTTTACTGAGGATGCCTGGGTCTCTGCCACGCCAACCTCCTGCTGTCCCGGTTAGCTCTTCCTTCCCAAGGAGAAGCAGAGATGAGCAACATTGTTCAAGGTAAGTGCCGAGGAGTGTTTTTCCGTGGCGGGCCGCTACCTGCTGGACGATGCCATCGCCTTTTCTAACGTTTTTCCCTGGCGGTGAATCGGATGATTCCCTCGAAAAAGGCAATGTTAGCAGCAGCTCTGCTGAGTGTTTTTCCGACGACACCACCACCTTTCTTTAACATAGAGTCACGCAGTGAATCAAATGACTCCTCCAAGAAAGGCAATGCTGGAAACAACCTTGCTGCCGCTTCCCTCCTGGAGAGCATAGGGATGTAAGAAGAGCGATCGAGCGGATACTCAGCCACATCGGGTCTTCCCACATCGGCGACCACACTGCTCCCAGCCCTCGGTGCCCTCCTTTCGGAGCTGCCCGGCATAATCCAGGAGACTGCTAACACAAAGGGACTTTCCTTCCCTCGCCTCCCTCCGCCCTGATCGGATGATCTGGCGGGAAGGTTTGGCTCCTCCCCGGCTCGTCACCCTGATCCCATCTGGCCTCGCTGTCCAGCTGTGACGTCACACTGGAACGAGAATGCAGCTGGGCCTGGCAAGCTGAAGACATCTGTTTCCACCTTCGTCTCCATCTCCGAAGGTGACAAAAACTAACCATACCAAGAAAACTGTCAGCAGAATAAAAGCACACAAAAAGTAGGGTTGTCTTGGCAACAGACTATTTGCATTCTGTTTTTATGTAATCAGTGCAGAAATGTGCCAACTTTTCCAGGCAGCTCATAAACTTTTTACCTCTCTACAACAGAGAAGGAATTGAGGGACATTTGCAATAACTCTGATCCAACAATTTTCAGTCAGGTCATC